GCCATAGCCTGTGCGCGGGTGGAAAGAACCAAGGCGCGAAGACCCTGAACTCCTTACAAGCTGCGCGCGGGTGAAAAGAACCCAGGCGCGGAGACCCCGGGCGCGTTGCAAGCCACGCGCGTGCTGAGAGAGCCAAGCGAGTACTTAACCACAGAGCCGCAAGGAGCCCCCGTCACACTCCCCGAGGGCCCGTCACGTCAGGATCCGAGATATAGTCATAGGTACACCTCTGACATGTCCTAGGTAGAGGGATGGCCTAAATCCCTGACATGTCAGTGGTCATGTCAAGGTATCATCATGTAATCCACCCACTCACCCACCACCATGTAGCCTATAAATATGGCATTTACTCCGGTGGGTGAGGGGATCGATTTTCGGACATTCTCTCTCTATAACACCAACTTCTCTCTCTCATTCTCATTTTGCTCTCCAATTCTCATTCTTTTAGACGAATCCCCCACTTGCGTTCTTCTTAACCCACACTCTTCCCGGAATCTCACTCCTACTCTCAGTTAGGTTCAAACAAAACTCTATAGGAAACTTACCTAAGGAAAACCTTGATTTGATTCTTGTGTTAATCTTGAAACTCTATAGGAAAATTACCTAAGCAAAACCTTTAATATTTTCCCTTTTATTTTGGGTTCATTGTGATACTTGAGTCTTTGTTTTACTATATAGAGACCTTTATAGTTAGTCTTTACTTATATTTGCGTTTTAAGATCTTTGCTCTTTTCTGTGTTTGGTTGTTGTAAGTTTTAAAGTATATTATAGTTTTGTCTTCAAAGTTTATTTTCAATTATCTAAAGAAATTTAAAAATAATTTCAAAGTAGTAAAGGAGAGAGTCCCTAGGGAATATAACCTTAGGGGTCGTTTGGATGTGGAAATTTGAAAACGTTGGAATTTGTCTGGATTTCCATGTTTTACAAAACCAAGGAATTGACTTGTGGAAATTGAAAAAAATTCACGTTTGGATAGGGTTTAGTTTTGTGGGAATTGATGGTGTGGAATTTGGAAAAAGAAGTGAGAAAACGTGGTAATGTCAAATTACTAGGGGGAGGTGTAGTATTCTCAATTACCATGAATGTGGTAATTGAAGCCAATTTCCATGGTCCAATTCTCATACCCTTTTTGCTCTCCCAAACGTGGGTTTTTAACCCAATTACTGCATTATGTGGTAATTGGGTCCAATTACTGCATTATATTTCCACATCCAAACGACCCTAAGTAGTTTTCATGCCACTAAGTTATTTTTGAAATTTGTCCTACGACTAATCAAATTTTGGGGTCGTTTGGATAGGTTATTTGCGTGAGTTATTTGGGCCTAAATAACTCATGTTGGGTTATTTGATTCAAAATAACTTATTTGGGTATGCAAAAGTGTAATTGGTTATTTGGCCTTGAGTTATTTACGAATAACTCAAAAACGAGTTATTGTAAATAACACCTAACCAGCAGTTATTTGACAATAACGCGTTCTGCTTAAATTCCCTTCCAACTCTGCCCCTTTCTCTTTCTTCCTTTTCAGTTCTTCCCCTCTTTCTCAAACGACTTCCATCTTCACTCTTCTTCTCCTCTCTCTTCTCTGTTATTCAATCTCTTACAGTCGATTAACCCTCACTGTTGACTACTGTATGTACGACGGAGAGCGACGACGAGATAGACGACGACTGCATGTAAGACGGACAGTGGCGACAAGGCTGGCGATGGTGGATGAAGAAGGTGTAAGAGTTCTGATTTGGGAAGAGTCCCAATTTTCTTATGAGTTGGGTTTCAATTTGGGAAGAGGCACAATTGGGAATTTTGACGCTAATTAAGTACGCAGCCGTGGTTGGAATCATTGGCGGCAACGGAGGTTTCGAGCGACAGTTCGTAGGCGGCGAGAATCAATGATCTTTGGAGCTGGATGCGAGTACTATTGTCCAAGCTGGGTTTTTGATTTGGGACTGCATGCAGAGCTTGGGGTAGATTGACGAATTGTGAAGGGAAGAGAAGGCACCCTTTTTGTTTGGCGGCAGGGGCAGATTGACGAATTTGGATTTGGCCTTCGTCCATAGTAAGCATCCTTAACAGCCTGTTTGGATAGACAAAAACATTCAGGAATCGGAATTCCATTTTCAATTCGAGTTCTATATTTTATGTTTGGAAGGATAAGAAGGTTGAGAAATGAATTCCATTTGGGTTAAGTTTTGGGAATTACAATTCCTATCAAAAGTGATAGGAATTGAGCTCATGAAGATGGAATTAGTGGGTCCCATAACTATTTATTATTATTTTTTCTAACCAACTATCATCCTACTCTCTTTCTCTATCATTCATATTCCATATTTCAAAATAAAACAAATATATTACATTATTAATTATTGTTAAAAGTGCAATTCATTTCTGTAGTTGTAGGAATTATACCAAACACTAAAATTGGAAATGGAATTCTATAAAAATAGGAAATCTAAATAGAATTCCATTTCCATTTCTTCCTGAATTGTATCCAAACAGGCTGTAATTGATTTTTCCTGTATTTATTTGTCAATTAAGTGGCTTGGGACACGTCTTTAACATGAAGAGAGAGGCTAAATTCTCGCTGGTGGAGTGGTGGGAAGCTTTGGATTCGTGGGTTCTGATTTTCTTTATTCTAGGCTCAATTGAGCAAGAACCTAGAAGTGGAGGAGGAGAAGAATTTGATGCAAGGCATGATGGGAAGTGGTTTCTGGTGGTTTCGTTGTTCTAATGGTTTGCTATGAATGAACGAATAAATGGGGGCATGGTACATTTTTGGGAATGAATGAAAAGATATGGGAGATTAGATGGTGCCCTCAATTGAGGGCAATATTGTTATATAACATCTTTTATCATCAAATACCACATGAAAATATTGGTTTAGCCAAACAAGATTATTTATCCCAACTTTCATAAAAATACCACTCAAATACCACATCAACAACAAATGAGTTATTTTACTTTACAAATACCACAAAATCAAACAATTCATCCAAACGACACCTTGGTGTCATTGCCGGAGCCTCTTATTCAATTGAATGAAAACATTGAATACTTTTGTTATAATATTTTGTATCTAAATATTATTTTTAATATTTCTAAATTATTCGTTTTTTTTTTTCTCTACGTGGCATCCACATTAGCGAAGCATGCCAATTTACTAACGGTCAACAGTAATTTAACGAAAATTCATGACTCCGGCCAAAGTAGATTATATGGTGTATAATTGAGGTCATGATAACAATTTCTGAAACTACGAGCTAAATTTGATTATTTGGATATGATTTAGTCAAGAATAAGGTATCAAACCAATAATTTATGGGTTAAAGACACATTTGGTCACTGAGATTACAAAATTGGGACATGTTTAGTCACTAGAAAAAATTAATATCAAATTTGGTCACTACAATTACTAAAACTGGACACATTTAGTCACTCGCCGTTAGTCTCCGTCCAACTCCGTTAATGAAGTCCGTTAAGTGATGATGTGGCAAACAGAAATGCCTAATCAGCCGGATATAACCCAACAAAAATAAAACCCGACCCGCCACGTCATTATAACCCGCCACGTCATTAAAACCAACCCAACCCAACCCAATCCATGACCCAACTCCACCCAACCCTTCTTCCTCCTTCCTCTCACCTCCTTCTTTCCCAATATAACCTGATAAACCAACAAAGCATGTACAGCCATTTTCCACCATGTAAGGTAAAAGTCGAATCCTCGCAAGAGTTCCCTTCCCTGTTAGCAGCCTCTAATAAGAATATTCTAACCTTTCATGATAACTGGGCCTCTCAACCAAAGCTCCGCTCTCTGGCCAGGACCCAGAGCCTCCCCTGTTTCCGGATCCACAACCTTGGCCTCCAGATTCTCCGAGATCCGACCCGCCGACCCGTAGTTCTTCATTTCCTCCGCATCCATCATTCTCGTTCCCCCTCCCCCGCTCTCCGTCAACCCATATCCCTGTCTCCCACAAAATTTCAATCACACCAACCAGAAAATTTCAACAAAGCTTCTTCAATTCAATTAGACTGTATATATATATATATACCTGGATGATGTCCATGTTGGGGAATTTCTCCTTGAACTTCTCAGCGACATCCTTCCCGAGCGGAGCCCCGCCGCAGCCCAGTACCAGAAGCGAGCTCAGATCGTACTTGCTGGTCAGCTCCGACTTCACCATCCCCACGATTAGCGGCGGAGAAACCGGCATGAATCGCCGACTCCTCCCAGGAGGTATTGTGATTTGTCGATTTTCGGAGGTCCCCAGGAGATTTGAAGGGTTTGGTATATATACACGTCGGAGGTTCGTTCAATCGAGGGAGGATGGAAGCAGCAGCTACGGCTTCTGTGGTCGTTCAATCGTCCGGCGTCGGGTACTCGACGCAGTCGGCTTATGTCAGTCGATTAGGGTTTCAGTGTGGTTTGCGGGAGGAGGTGGGAGGAAGGAGGAGAGCGGCGGCGGTGGTTTTGGGGAAAGAAAGGAGGTGAGAGGAAGGAGGAAGAAGGGTTGGGTGGGGTTGGGTCATGGGTTGGGTTGGGTTGGTTTTAATGACGTGGCGGGTTATAATGACGTGGCGGGTCGGGTTTTATTTTTGTTGGGTTATATCCGGCTGATTAGGCATTTCTGTTTGCCACATCATCACTTAACGGACTTCATTAACGGAGTTGGACGGAGACTAACGGCGAGTGACTAAATGTGTCCAGTTTTAGTAATTGTAGTGACCAAATTTGATATTAATTTTTTCTAGTGACTAAACATGTCCCGATTTTGTAATCTCAGTGACCAAATGTGTCTTTAACCCAATAATTTATTAATGCCGATTATTTTGGTCAATTTGCCTAGAAAAGGGTACTATAGCCGTTAGCCGACAAAAAGATGAAGTAAATGGCAATGCCGTAAAACTCTCAAAAGGTTGGGTCAAAACTGTCCACTCATTCACATGGCAGAAGTACAACGGAGGAAAAAAAGGTTTCAGGCCACTAGTGAAATACAAATTTCAAATGAGTGGCCGTTTGAACTCCAATAACTTCCAAAAAGATACAAATCCAGAAAGAGAGGAGAGGTGCCGAGCTTCCCAACTTCGAAACCCATTTCCCTCTTCCCTCTCTCTCTCTGTCTTCTTCTTCTTCTTCTTCCTCCGCTTCTCTTCACCGAAAGAAAGACATTCGATTGACATAATGACGGGGCTTGTGATGGTGACTAAGGGCGGCGGTTGCGGTGGCGGCGTGGGAGGTAGCGGTTGTAAGGGTTCGGCGAGGGGCAGTAATAAGGCCAGCAGCGAGGAAGAGCAGAACCAGCAGCTATCGACGGTAGCGGTTCTTTTATCCGCTTTGAGAAAATCCCTGGCTTCCTCGTGCCGGATTGAAGATGGGGAAGATCTGATGTCGTCGTCGTCTTCCTCCGCCGCCGTTCGTCACATGGATATCGGCTGGCCGACGAACGTCCAGCACATTACCCACGTTACCTTCGATCGATTCAACGGATTTTTGGGTCTTCCCATGGAGTTCGAAGTGGAGATTCCTTCCAAAGTCCCGAGCGCCAGGTACTGAAGTTTTAATTCAACTTCACTTGTTTCTCCTAGTTTTTTCTACTTAACGAGATAAGAAAGAAATGGGGGGTTTGTCGTAAAATGTGATCTGATTTTGGATCCTCGAGGAAATGAATGCTGAAGTTCTTTGGGTTTGGTTTCCTTTTCTGGCTCTCGAAATGAAGGTTTTGTGCGGAGTCTACTTAGCTTAGCTGCACTATTGAGTGAAGTTTCCCCCTTTTGCTAGGGTTACCTTACTCAGCTGCTAGCGAGGTGTTGTTGCTAGGGTTCTTGTTAGCTTAGCTTGCTCAGTTAGTACAATGAAAGTTTGCTTAATTTACAGAAGGCTGATGCTAGTCCTGATTTGGAATTTTGTAAAGAGAAGAACCAAAAGGAGGGAAGAAAAGTCGGTTTCTTTTCCATTGTAAAAAGATCTAATCGGGATTTTGCTTTGAACATTTCAAATTGCAGAGCCACTTTCATTTTATGTTTGAAATCTCTGTTAGTTAGTCTACTATCAGTAACTTTTCTTGCTTCTTTCTCTCTTTTTTTTTACGGTTTTTTCTTGCTTCTTTCAACCAAATGAAAAGAGATTTCTTGCTTTCAACGAATATCCCGACTTGCTTAATGTGCATAGTCCTAACTTCGTTCCATCATTTTCGCAGTGTTAGTGTTTTTGGTGTCTCGGCAGAGTCAATGCAATGCTGTTATGACTCCAAGGGAAATAGCGTACCAACAATTCTTCTACTAATGCAGCAGAGATTGTACAAACAGGATGGTCTAAAGGTATAAATCACGTTACTTCTTCAATGGCAGCTCTCAAATGCTTAATTTCGTTTCCTATAAATGATTTCTCTTTGTTGGCTTCCTTTTCTTCATTTGACTAGGCTGAAGGAATTTTCCGCATAAACCCAGAGAACGGTAAGGAGGAACATGTAAGAGACCAGCTGAACAGGGGAATTGTCCCCGATGACATTGATGTCCATTGTTTAGCTGGGCTCATAAAAGCCTGGTTCAGGGAACTCCCTTCTGGGGTGCTTGATGGGCTATCCCCCGAGCAGGTTCTTCAATGCAACACGGAAGAAGACTCCGTTGAACTGGTTACGCAATTGAAGCCAACTGAAGCTGCACTCCTCGATTGGGCGGTCGATCTCATGACTGATGTTGTTCAAGAAGAAGAACACAACAAGATGAATGCCAGAAATATTGCCATGGTCTTTGCACCAAACATGACTCAGGTATATATGAGAAATCCATTGCTCTTTTGCTTGCTGAGTTGGTGTATGGCTTATTTGCAACTATAATAAAGGTAACATCTTCCCTCCTGCCTTGTTCAGATGTCTGATCCATTGACAGCACTAATGCATGCTGTACAAGTTATGAACTTACTCAAAACCCTAATCACTAAGAATCTGAGAGAGCGTGAAGAGGCAGGCAGTGGAGGATGTTCACCCATGTCTTCTCAGTCATATGGTCAGCATACTAATGAAGGTTGTGACAGCCAGCAAGACACTGACATCAGCAGTGAACCAAGGCAGGGATCAGATTATGAAGATGATGTTGATGACGACGATGATGATGATGGACACTACAGCCATGACAGTGAAAACAGTGATGACCGCGAGGTTGAGTCCTTGAGTAAGATAGAAGAACTCTTTTTGAATGCACTGGACGAGGACATGGTTGCTACCGACATGTTGCAAGAGCAGCCATCTGATGATGAATTCTCAAGGAAAAGCTTCAGCAAGAGAAGCTGTTCAAGTCTTAACATGGAATCTGGATTAACATTTACTGATGCCAAAAATGATGATGATTCTGCTTCAGGTTCAAGTGATGGTGAAAACTCGAAGGCAAGTTTGAATGCTATTGTAGACGAGAGAAGCCTGTCGAGAGGACGCGAATATTGTGATGATGTCAAGATGGAGGAGAAAGTGGGTCAGTTGATTATGCCCGTGATATAGTATGTTCAAATGCTGAGGGCAGATTACCGGTTAGTGTAAACCTGCGTGACTGCATCTGTATATTAGGACTGCATTAACTTTCGCTTGAACTGCGTAGGAGCTTTTCCCTATTTGTTAAGGTTGTGCTTAGGAAGTCAATTGTTCAGCTTTGGGCTGAACTTGTACTTAGTTTGCATGTTTGTTCAGCTCAGAGCTGTCTCATTGCTCAGCAATGAGTTGCCATGATCTCTGACCTGAAAGATTTTTAAGACTGGAAGGACTTCAATGTTTCCAAGTCTAAGTCCATGTCCTTGTCAAAAGCAGATACTGGAATGTCTGTGCTGCCGAATTAATATGTTCTTTTTTATCTGGAGGTACTGCAACAATGTTAAGCCAGCAAGCCACTAAAGATTATTAACTCCAGTAGGTTTTGGCTGTATCGACCAGGTTATTGACTCTTTGATACTTGAAGTCCACCTCAAAGAATTGAATCAGAAGATTTTAAATCGCAGGATTGTTTAAAAAATTAGTCTAAAAAAACATCACAAATCACTGACAGGGTTAGAAGTGAGAGATGTATCTCTTTTGTGGGTCATCTTGGGAGATTTTATTGTCATCACTGTTTCTAGAGAAGCTTCTAACAATCCATATTTCACTAGTTCTATGGTCGAGCTCAAGATCAGTCGACTAAGTTGGAGGTTGAGGAACACACTACTTCTGAACCCTGGTTTACATAGCTAAATAAGCAATATGGTAATCCTATAGCTCAAAGACTAGATATAGCTTTAATTTATCTAAAGTGGTTAGACCTTATTCCTCTATTTGAGCCTTTCACATCTAGTAGTTATGATTTTATGAACTACTGATGTTTCGATGAATTCACTCCTTAAGCTCTTTTAAGTTTTTTAGATTTTGGATAGTGCATCCCCATTTCTATAATATGAAGAAGGATGCTTGGGAAGCAGAAGTTATATCTCCTTTTTATTATTATTGTGTATTCTTCTAGAAACACAATCGAGATGTCTATTCTAATTTGAGAGGAAGCCGAGATTTCTTCAAAAGACAGTACGCGTTGTAAGCTCAAAAACATGATTTGATTGATCCTTTTCCTGTTACTTTTAGTGACCAAAGCAAAGTCTCTTTGACGCGAGTCGACGTCGAGTTTTACAATTTATAACTCGATCTCCGAAATTAGTAACTACTCTAATTTAGGACAAGTGCACTCTAGATCAACGAAGTAGTATAGTAGTGATCGAGGTCCTTTCAATTCAAGTGCAAGGCCATCGGTGGGATGTTCTCGCTTATGCATATGCTTGTTAATGTTGATGGTTAAACAAGATGGTTAATGGTTTAAGTGTGAACAAAACAGACGAAGAAAGAAACAAAGCTAAAAGTGAGGTAGTGTAGGCTAGGCTTCGAACTATCTTCGATGTTTGCCAACGTTGAGGTTATAAGAGAGATTACACAACATAGTAACCAATAATAGTAGTTGAGAAATATTATTTATTCTCTACCTTTGGAAGTCGATGGCACTGTGCAGTGCGGCTAGAAAATACGATGACTGTTTGATAGTATAAATAAGAAACAACATTTTGTCATGTGAAAAATATGGTGAACGTCATTCAAGTGACCTACAAATCCACCCACCACCCCACCCGATTAAGTGCAGGTAGAAGTTTTATCAATTCGCAATCCACCCACATTAATCACCACCCTACTGCGGTTTAGGTTATTTGAAGGGTGTATAAATATCAAACTGCGAATTAACCACCCACATCCCTAGAATGGATTTGCATTGTTTCAAGAGATAGGCTATAAGAATTAGAGGTAAGATACGGTCACTTTTAAGTGATTCATCTGGCGAGTCGTTAGGAAGAATTTGCATTAGACGATCTTTTCAATAGCTAAAGTGAATCTCAAAGGTTAGTAGGAGATGCAATATATCAGTAATCTTTCGCTCAATATAAAGGTAAGGTCTAAGGCAAAAGAAGTATCGTCTGATCCAAAAGTTCCAACGCTAGCACAGCCATCAAGGGGAAAAGGAAAGTCGAAAGATGCTAAACCAAACTGGAGCTGTTGCAAAGCATGTGCCAGAAAGAAATTAGCAAATGAATGAATTTCGCCGAGAAATCAACAAATTGAAAATCAATGAAATAATCGTTAGTATCTAAAATGAAATTCCATGGTGTACAGAAAATTACAGTTGTGTGCCTGGTGCCAAAATTGCACCACCAATTACAAGTTGAGAGGAGCTTCAATCCCATCCGCAAATTACAAGGATGCTGCATGAAGGCGACAGCTCAAAATCCAGGCCCCCCAATACATCGTGCGAGTCGCATCACTCCCATGTCCGCTTTGCTTCCATGTCTCACCCTTCTTCTTAATCAGTAAGGTTTGCTCTGTTTGTTGTTGTCCCTTTTCAGCTGAACCTTCAACTTCTTACCACTTAACTGGTATCCATTCATTACAGCAATCGCACCTTGAGCTGCAGCCGGCGAGTCGTAACTAACAAAACCTGGGGAAAAGCACAAGCACCAATCATTTACAGAAGATCAAATGCATCAAAGGAACTACATTCTCAAAGCATGCACACAGCATTTGCATACCAAAACATTTGCTGAAACCAGTGGCCTTGTCAACAAAGACCTTTGCGCTCAGCACGTTGCCAAATCCTTTGAAAGCATTAGCAAGCTCTTGATCTCCATATTCTTGTGGTATGTGGTATATGAACAGATTAGCACCAGGTGGACCTAAGTTGATTATGAAACACCGGGGAAAAAACGGTTGGATCATTACTGCAGCAAAAAATACAAGGCAGTAGCAGGCACAAAAAAGTAGTCGAATCATGCAGAAGATAAGAAAACACGGACCTTCAACCTGAGACCCCGAACTAGTAGTGACACCTGAAGAGGATCCAGGACTACTGCTGCTTGAAACTTGATGAGATGCTGAACTAGGTGAACCACCTATAGGTCGATGACCCATCATTCCTCCTGGATAAGTCATAGGATACTGGACGCCGGGGACTGCAGGGTGGTAAGCCGAGCCCACATAACTTGCTGGAGGGACACCATAATTTCTAGGGGCCATATTGGGCGACAGGTTAGGTCTGATTCCACCACGCAGTGCATTTCCTTGATTGATGGGGGGAATCATTCCATGGAAACCAGGTTGATTCTGCATAGGTGGCAACCGGTATGGCATGATTCCATAGGATCCAGGACCCTGTGTGGACAACACTACAGTTAGCTCTATATTTGATGATAATGACTGGAGAAGAAAAAATCATGTTCAGCAAAGAGATCAAGAACGTTGCAACATCACTTACTTGGTAACCATAGCCATTGTAAGGGGGAACATATCCCATTGGCAAGGCTCCAAACAAGGAAGGATGCTGTAAGTCAGCATTTGGCATATTAGATCCCTGAGATTGTGCTTTCTGAGCTCTCCTCGCCTGTCTTTCCTTCTCTGTATCTGCCCATTTGACAACTAGAGGAACATTCGAACCCTATGAAGGGGGAAGAAGAGAAAGGGAAAGGAAAATGGATCAGACTGAACAGGTAATGAAATCGTCTGATATATTAATAGCACTGGAGAAACAGAGCATTAACTTTAGAAAAACCAGTAGACATAAGAAAAATGAATTAGGTTCACATATCAGTGGGAGTAACATTTGTTGGTGATTAAAGGACCACTAGCTCAAAAGACTGGGCAAGGTCCATGCAAGAGAACATTCAAATATTCCAGACCCTGCTCCCACAGGTCAAGTTAAACAACTTTTTATAATGACTCCACTATTTTCTTACATACAACATTATGTTAGTTACTAAATCTGGAGACCAAGAAACTCTACTCCAAACGAAGAATAAAATAAAAAATCACAGATATAGACGTATGACACGACATGCCACTGTAGCAAAGCAAAAAAAATCCTTAGAGCACATTAAGTAGCAAGAAATGCAGCCTTCGTAAAAAAAAGCAGTAAGAAATGCAGCAACAAATGTGGGTAAGCACACACCTCCATTTTATGTTTTCCATTGATAGTTTCTAGCGCTGCAAGGGCTTGGTCTTTTGTCTCATACTTCAAAAAAGCACAACCTTGAGATCAGCTAGAACATTAGATTTCAGCATGTCACCAACAAAGGCCAAAAAGTGAAAGTATTAAAAGAAACGAATACCTTTGCTAGTTTGCTGTGAACCTCTTAGAATTTGTAAGTCCTTTATCGTGCCATACTTGGAGAACAAATCGGATAAGTCAGCTTCAGATACATTTTTTGGTAGCATGCCAACGAAGAGCTTGTGTTCTGGATTGCCATTTGCAAGCACAACCGATAAAAGCAGGGAAGGGAAAATCACACACAGAGGTACATGAACATGATACACAGAGAAATTACTGCAGTAATATACAGTATTGAACAATCAATTACAAGATTGTTATTGGAACTATATTACACACCTAAACGTTCCAACTCGCCGTCTGCATATTTCACTTGCAATGGACTAGATGCCTGAAATGGACAGAAAGAAGAGGAGGATTGAGACTAAAAAGGAAATAACTCTTTTTGTATACTGAACCAAACATGTTTACCAAAAGTTCTACTCATATCATGGACCTATATGCAAAGTCACAATTTCCAAAAACTTCTTCCCCAGAAAGGTACTACTTTAGAGTGGACCTTTTGGGGCTTACATTATGACAAGACATACTGGGGATAAACAAAGAAAAAATATAAATGTAGATCTATAGAGTCCCTCCAGAATCTCCATTATTTCGAGTCCAAATATCACAAGGATCATCCCTATTGGCTGTGATTCGCTTACTAACTATATAGTAAGCAAGACATTTGCAAGCTCATCGCAGCAGTCACCCCACTGTGCCTTCTACTACACATAAGTAATGGATCATGGTACTGCAGCAAACAGATGAGAAGAACATTGACTAGGCCTCATTAGGTCTCAAACATTGATCCAGAAACTCTCAAATTAAGTAGCCAATACGATCCCAATACAGAACCTGAGAACTGTTCCATAAAACTACCAAGTTGGTCATCACTCTGGCCATTGTAAACAACCAAGATTTGACAATGTCGAACTAATTTCATCCGCCTAAAGAAGTTATCCCTTAATCGCAGTGAAGCACCGAATTACCATACTCATGAAGTGGAACCAAGTTGGCTAGATCAGAAATCTGGAAAAGAGAGGCCCTCTCCCAGATTGGAATGCAAGGGAGATTACAAAGAAAATGTAGAAGGGTGAAGGAGATCAAATTTGAACTCACCCCGGGCAATGTTTTCTTATTATGACACGCACTGACCGCCTTATCTGCTTCGTGCCTGGATGGGCAAAGTACGAAACAACACCCTGCAGTTGAGGCCAGGCAGAGAGAGAAGAAGAACACATAAAAATTAGGGCAAAATCTCGAATCGAAGCCCTCGAAAGGAAATCACCCATGGCGGAAGAGAATGCGAGATTTGGGTGGGGAAATGTGGGAGAAGAGGAAGAAGAAGAACCTCTGGAAGCGCGTGTAGTCTTGTCTTTGATGATGTTGACCTCGTCCACCAGGGCGAACTCTTGGAACATTGCGAGAAGCTGAGCTTCCGTCATGTGCTTGGGGACTTGACCTACAAACAGCTTGACGCTCTCGTCGCCGCTGGGCGTCGCCTCCTTGTTATCCTCCGCCATTAATGCCTAGAAAAAGCACAGACCCAGAGCAGACCCAGTCTCTCTCCTCCTCCTCTTTTTTCTCTATTACGTCTTCGCAATCTCGTTTTGACGCCTTGCCTCGCTCCCTCGGTCTCCAGAATTCCACTGAGCTTTCTCTCTCTAGATTCCTGTTTGATTTGGGTTTTCTTTTTTCTGGCTTTTCTTCTTCGTTCGAGTCGTCGCTCGCTGCGCTGGTGGAGAGAGAGAGATTTCTGGATGGCAAAGTTGGATCTCCGGTAAAAATAATTAATTATTATTATTATAATTAAATGATGATTCAAAAAGTCAGGACCCCATCTCCTTGTTAATTTACGATACTGTCCTTGGTTGGTTTCCACTCGCGCGTGGGAGACGGTTGTACTTTGACAATGGCGACTTGGCGAGGCGGAGAGGTTTTTTCATACGCGCTGCGAGAATTTTTTTTGGGGAAGTTAAGTGACGGAAATGCCCTTCCGGTTTCGTCGCTGCTGTCAGGTTTTCTTCTCTCCCGTCGTCTTCTTTATTTTTGCATGGCAGCGCCAGCAAGTAGTCTCTCTCCTATTCTCTTCTTTCTCTCTCTCCAATTACATCGGTAGGCTGGCTGGATGGCTGGCTGGCTGGCGGTCCCCACAAATGGCGCTGTCTCTGAGAAACGGATAAAACTAAAAGATAGAGAGAAGAGAGAAAAAGAGAAACAACAAAAGAAAAGAAAAGAAAAAAAAAAACAGCTATGTGAAAAGACTTTCTTCAACTTAAGAAGAAAAGATTTGACCCATCCAATTTGGTAGCCAGAATTTGTCTTCCCGTTGAATTATTAGCCGGAGTTTTTCCCAGTATTATTCACCAAGATTAGGATGTCAATAGAACTTGAATGCGCGCGAATTCTATCAGATCCAATCCGGTTAATGAGGGTAAAACCTGTTCTGATAGATTGCGGGTTGGGTTCGGGTTTAAACTCGATATACTTTTTGCGGGTTGGATTAAGTTTGGGTTTAGTCATATCCAACTCGCGGATACCCGCACCCAAGTCCATACCCCCTACGACCCACGAATCCCTGAACAAATTAACAATAATTTCTAAAATAATTCATCACATTTTCAATTAATCATATTGTTTGTGGATGTTTATCTTTAATATTGAACGATTAGTCTGAATAATTTGTGAGTTGATGTGATGTAGTAGACAATAGTAGTGAAAACTAGTGCAATTGCATCTTTGTAAATGAACCCATGGGTACCCATAAACCCGCGAATACCAAGCGGGTAGGGTTGGATTTGAGTTTTTCAAATAAAGTGGGTTTTACCCCCGATTATTTTGTTGGATAAACCCATGAGTTTGGGTTTGGCATAATCCGCCCCAACCCGGCCCATTGCCATCCCTAACCAAGATAAAAATAAGGTATGGATTGCTATACAGAATATAAGGGTTATGAAACCTACAAAATTTGTGTCTTGTCATTCTATATGATAGTATCAAGACCGGTAGACACAAAATTATCTAAGTTGTTGTTTTGAGCTTCGGGCCCAACCAGTGGCGGAGGGAGCCTTTGAGCAAGGGGGTCCTAGGACCCCACTTAGTACAATTTTGGGCACCAAAATTCTTTAAATATCTGCGCTTTAGCATGATTCTTGAAAGATAGGACCCATACTTTCACCGATATTACCTCACATAAAGACCCCAATCAACTCAAAAAAAAATTACTTTGTCAAAAAAAAAAAACTCAAAAATTTTAAAGACCCCGATCCATTCAAAGTCTGACTATGCCACTATGCCCAACATTCTCAATTATTTTTTTGTCATGAAGTATTCTCAATAGATTGTCATGTCTTATCAATCTTGTAACATATCTCCTCCCTTACATGAAACATTAATTAAATACTTAAAAATAATTAATATAAATCATATCTCGAATGTTAGCGGGATGATCACATTTGTGTCAACATGGATTTTTTAATGTAGAAGAACTAGCTCAATCTGTTATCGACACCAACAAAGATAGTGTGTACATGACGATGTTGCTCACACTTACGAAACTTCATATTATTCCTTAGTGTATCATTTGATCGCACATACAATCACTTCCATTTGATTGTCATGTTTGAGGGTGATGTGCATAGGAGCCAAATCGATTGAAGGTCGATAATCCCCTGTTTAGTGTCCCCTCCACACAAACTATAGTATAGTCAAGGAAAGTGCTGGGATACTCAGCCCATATATCATAAGGACCAACATCAAAAGCCCAAACAACTTTGAAGATTAGCTCAATCAACCAGAAGGGAAGCGTTAGTATACAGGGGATTGTGTAGCCCCCTCGTATGAATCCAAGTAACAACAAGACGCCCTCGTTACTGCGTGGGAGAGGTGGCATATGTCTCTAAATAGCCAGACTCGAGCACGCCTTCGCCTTACGCCTCAGGGTGGAGGTGTAAAGTAAATTCATAAGTGGCATGTCGTCGTTCCTCGAGGAACCACCTTGAGAGCAATGCGAGAAAACTACTGCTATCTCTAATAGAACAATGGATATAGCATTAAGTGTTGTTGCAGATGGGAGCCTCATAAAGAATGTCACATTGACATACGACATTTAATGCTAAAAAGGCGTTACACTGAAAAGGTACATCTTCTGGTAGATACATTTAATGCTTCCGCAGGCGTTGTACGATAAAGGATGTTGCTGACATGCTGCCACAGGTGATCATTGAACCATTTTTCTCTTGACAGAGGTATAACTACCGATCCTTTGTCTCATTTATGGTAACTCTCAACCACCCATTATTTTCTCGCTTATCTCTCTCTACTTTGTTCACTTTCTGAGTTTAGCATCAGAGGGCGTCCAGGGTCTTTCCTATGTACCTTTTTGCAGGACTTTAAAGGACATCCGTCAGGCAAGAAGAGTGAAGCCACGCGAAGCAGTCCAAATATCCGCCCAATACTTTTTGGGCTTAAACAGGAAGGGAAACCAGTGTATTGAAACCTATATTTGTTTGGTAAAGAATGCAAGAACCCCCTAAATTAAAAACAAAAAATAAGGTTGTTGGGAAAGCGAAAAGAGAATCGTGTAAGCATATCTTTCCTTACTTGAATGTATTGCCTTTCTGAATTTTCGTTGAAATTAATAATGCCACATGGAAAATTGTCGCATCTCAATTTGCTAGTAAATGGACACAACTCACTTCTAACAAATTCAATTTGCATACGAATGATTGGGAGGGTTTGAGTTGCACTATGAAAGTATATCTTTGCTTGAGAACAAACAAACAATTAAGTGTGAGAGAATTTGATGACACACAATTTCTCCATATTGTAGAACCCACTTCTTAAGTGTTTGAGTGTCATAATAATCATAATTGTAGCTAATTGATAATATTCTAGGTTTAGTATGATTTCAACCCATTCTTGGCCCCTTGGCTTGTAACTTACTCATTCTTACATATTGTATGCTATGTTGTGTTTTCTCATATAATTTCAGGTCCTAACATATCGATGAGGTTTGTAGCAAGTTTTGAGATATTTGGAGGTCCATTGAAGGGTGAAAAAAGACAAACATGAACAAGATCACAACTACATCACCTACACGACATTTAGGTGAGATCCTTGAGATTATGACCAGAAGGGTGAAGATCACAGTTGTCTCATCCATTCCACCCATGATCACTCCCTTCCCAAGTTCATGGCCAATTGCTCAAAGACATGAGTATGATCTTCTGGCTGTGATCTTTGGCCTGTCCATGCATGTATGAATACTTGGGGACTTTAGTTCACAAGGGCAATATCCTAGAGGGATAAAACATAACATAGTGAAGATATAAAGAGAGACATGAGTTTGAAGGGTTTTGGGAGTTGTTTCATCAAACCAACCCCAAAGACTTCCAAGATTCAAACAGGTGGACTAATAAGGTGGATCTACATAAAGATTGATGTTCTTCTTTCTCTGTGTACACTCTTTCTCTCTATGTCCACTCTTTTTCTCTTGTCCAAACTTTTCTAGTTGCTTAGAGATGAGCTCTAGTTTGTATATTTAATATGAGTTTGTATGTAAACCTTGATTGTGGACCTACTCTATAAATCTATGACACAATACATTTTCATAGCCATAACTTTCGTATTTGTGACAATAATAGTCACTTTTAGAAAATACCAGAAATAGCCACATTTTAAAAACTTTTTTTTTACTAATTTAGCTATTTTCGTCCAATACTTTAACACCGTCAACAATTCTATCAACTAAATGGAAGTTATACTGATGTGGATGTCACTAGGACAACACATCATGTCCACTTAGACTTTTCATATGCCACGTGACACATGTTAAGTTAAATAAAAAGGAAAATATGATATAACTTTCCACTGTGTCACTCACGGTAGGGGTGGGCACGTGGGTGGTTAATCCGCGGATATATATCGATCCACCCGCAAATACCCGCACGCAATGAGTGATTGATGTGGGTGGATTGCGGATTGTTAAATCTCCCTCCCACACTTATGTGGGTGGATTGTGGGTCACCTGTATGGCCTGCGTCCTATTTTTACATAGAATTTTTTTTTGTTTCTTATAGTATCGAATATTTATCATATTTTCAAACTGCACTATAGTCTGACCATATACTTCAAAAAGTGGAGAATAAAGAATAGTTTTGACTACTATTATTGGTTAATTATTGTGTTGTGCAATATCCATTGGCAATGGATATTGGTATGCAAATTATTGATACTATCTTACTAATTTGCTATGAACTTATTATAAATGTTAGTCAATTTTCTTAATTCTAGTTGGAGAATTGCTTTTGTGGGTTAACCCGCGACCCAACCGCACCCATCCTTGATCCGTCACCCACCCAACCCGAATAAGTATGTGGGTGGATTGCGGGTCACATATATTCCAACCCACTAGTAAGCGAATGGGTCAATTTTAGACCAAAATCCACCCAACCCGCCCATTGCCCACCCCTACCTCACAGAAACGTCTCTCCCTTTCTCCCTCTTTGAAGCTCGACATTAATGGCCTCAAAGCTTCTGCTTTCCCAAATTAGCTGGACATTGGCGCCGGTTCCAGAGATACCACGCTCGGGTTGCTGTTTTCCCAACCAAGCGTTCACTGCATCCTCATATTAATCACTCCGGAGACCAAATATAGTCGTCTCTCAGTTTCATCACGGACACCGTTGCTGTTCCGATTCCCCGGAGAAAAAAGCCAGACCTTTCTATCTCATAATTGGCTTCCTGGCTTCCGAGACAACCCAGTACGATCCGATCCAACTTGAGCTTCCCTCTAATTTC